AGACAATGTTCTGCCTACCTCGGGATTTTTTTCAGTTTCGAATTCATGCCGGCAGTTATTTTTTGTTGGATTTTTCTACTTCAAACCCAGCTGCCTGTGAGAGGATCATTGTCATTGCTCTTACTGGCCTGAGAGCTGGGTGAGAGACCCTGCAAAGAGGCAGATTCCACGTGGAACCTGCCCTGGACAGACAGGAGAGAGGGATGCTGAGGGGAGGATAGTGAAAGGTACCCCATTTTCCTCAAGGCTGCCCTTAGATACATTAGATCACTCAGGCTGGATTAAGGAGTGATGAGCTGAAAGTGGCGCTTTCCACTGCCTTTTCAAGTTAAGCACTCAATATTCAAAAATCCCAAAGAACACTCATCCCTGAAGCCCCTTACCTTGTTTGGTTGTTGAATTTGATTCTTTGCTCCAGACACTAGTAAGAGAACTATGAATGTCTTCATTGTGAAGACTGTCTAGCCTTGGGTGGGATGTGTTCAACAACTGCTACCCATTGAGTTCTTGGTGACAATATTTTGGGGTGTCAGGACAGAAAAGTTCAGGAGGTTGTGAATGAACCCAACAGGAGTCTGGAGGGTGGCATGGAATTAGATAACCTGTAGGGCTGAATATTAAAGGCTTTCGTCATTTTGCATGATTGGATGGATATAGCAAGAGATAGATATTTTCCTTTGCATTGTATGAGTCAAGTGGTTGACTAGGACCTTTAAAATAGCCCATATAGGGCCCAGCGCGGTGGCCTAGCAGCTAGACTCCTCACCTTGAACATGCCGGGAATCCCATATGGATGCCGGTTCTAATTCCGGTAGCTCCATTTCCCATCCAGCTCCCTGTCTGTGGCCTGGGAAAGCAGTCGAGGACAGACCAAGGCCTTGGGTTCCTGCACCTGTGTGGGAGTCCTGGAGGAAGTTCCTGGCTCCTGGCTTCAGATTGGCGCAGCACCGGCCATTGCGGTCACTTGTGGAGTGAATCATCGGATGGAAGATCTTCCTCTCTGTCTTCTCTCCTCTTTGTATATCTGACTTTGCAATAAAAAAATTTTTTTTAAATTATGAAATAACCGGGCCCGGCGCGGTGGCGCAAGTGGTTAAAGGTCCTCACCTAGCACACCCCGGGATCCCATATGGGCACCGGTTCTAATCCCGGCAGCCCCGCTTCCCTTCCAGCTCCCTGCCTGTGGCCTGGGAAAGCAGTGGAGGATGGCCCAAAGCTTTGGGAACCTGCACCCGCGTGGGAGACCCGGAAGAGGCTCCTGGCTTCGGATCGGCATAGTATCGGCCCGTTGCAGTCACTTGGGGAGTGAATCATCGGACGGAAGATCTTCCTCTCTGTCTCTCCTCTCTGTATATCTGCCTTTCCAATGAAAAAATAATAAAAAAATAAATCTTTAAATTATGAAATAACCCATGTAAGCCTGTTTTCATTCTCCATGTGAACAAATATTTTCAGGGCTTTTATTTATTTGTTTGTTTGTTTCCTCCCAGTAGACATTGCAACTAATGCTGGAACTGTGCTGTCAGATAGAAATGAGCCGATGGCCACAGTCAGGGTAGAGGATGAGGAAGTTGGACACCCTCCTCCCAACCCCATAAAGTGTTCTAAGACTCCAATGGATGCTTTAGGCACCCAGGTATAGAATGATCTATGCTGTGTGCTGCAGAGTTCCTTAGAAGCCCTAAAGAGATTCCACAGGCCCAGAGTTAGACCCAAATGAGTAAGTTTTCCTTAATTGGATGTAAAAACTATCAGAACAACAGGGGTTGGAGGAAATGTTGGGTGGACTGACTTGAGTTTGAACTTTGAGAACAAGAAGTACTTTCCTGGTGTGAGCTCCACTGCAGTACTGGAAGGGCTTGGGGAGGTGCCACAGTGCCTGTCTTTACTGTGGTTTTCCTTCTATGTTTTGCTGTGGTCTTACTGAGGGTGAGGGATCCGAAGGGCTAGTAACTTGGCCTAACAGGGCACCACTTACCATTATCACAGCCATGAACTGTTTCCCCTTAGAATATGCATGTGAAGGGGACCATTCTACATCTGAGCCCTCTATAGGCTGACTGGTGAGACGTTCCTGGTTGACCTTGAACATGTTTTTTGTCGGTTACCTGGCAACAGTTTGACTCCAAGCGGCTGCAGGAATTAGGAAGCTCAGAATCACCTAGGAATACTGACATCTCATGATTGATAACAGAGGCTAAAGAGAGCCATTTGTTTGCACAGGGAGGCTGCATCCTGGTGAGGTGAAGTGGCCAGGGCGGGTCTGTTGTGTGTGTCTTAGGTGCCGTTTGTTTTGTTTTGTTTGCTTAGACAGGGACAACCAGTGGGAAATGAGCTGCACTGACAGCTGTTCCCACACGGTGCTTGTTCGAGAGGCTGTGTCCGGTCAGTTTAATTGAAGTGTTACTGTCCGCCTTTTGTAGACAAGGAGGCTGAAGTCCAGCACTGGAAGGTGGTGGTTTGGAAAAGATTCAGCCCCAACACTGCTTGCTGTCTGAGTTTGCCCTTTTTCTGTGCACTGTGTTACACTCTTGCTCAGATGGACATTTGGGATGTCCATCTGCTGTCCCCATGACTTTTGCCCCCTTGAGTGAATCCATCGGCATCTGGTGAAGCCTTGGCACTGATGATATTGTCTGCATCTGCTTGCAGGGAGGATGGGGCCAGGGACCTCCAGGAGAGCCTTGGACATCTTGAACTCCTCCTGCCCTGTGTCTGCTCGTGACCTCTTAGCCAATGGGCTTTGTCACTGTAACATCGTTAAGCCAGAGGGAGGCAGTCCTGAGCCTGTGAACTGCCATGGAAACAGGGGAGGGGCTTTACTCACCACCCTCCCACAGGGGCTCATTGACTGTCTCACCTCCATGCACACTCCCAGCACTTCTGGAAGGCACCTGCCTACTTTACATCTAGAATCCAGAGTTTGATCCTTGGCAGCTTCAAACTCCTTGCCTCGTGCTAAGATAACCCATCACACTCTGTGGGTAGGTTTCTGGGGCTTCTGGCAGGGAGCCATTTCAGTGGGAGATTCTCCTCTGGGTCCCCTCTGGCACAGCCCAGGACCTTCCTATTCACTGAGTCAGCACCTGCAGGAAGCAGGAACTGTGGTGGTCTCAACTTGTCCCTGTGTTCCTATGTCCCTAAAGTATCTGCACATGCTGTGTGTACAGTCAACCTGAGTGTGAAGGCTGGTGTCTGCTTTACCACCTTGGATGGGACACCATCTGGTACATGATCTCATCTCCAAAACAGGAACACTGAAAATCCTTGGAGAGGAAGTGAGATAAGTTACATGATAATATGTGGCACGATTGGTAGGCAGTTTGTAGTTGTGGTAGTGAATTCCAAACTCAAGCAGCTGAAAGCTCTGGCATATCTGTCTTCTGGGTCAGTGACAACCTTAGGGAGGTGGTCCCAGGTAACAGCCGGTGCCTGCTGACCAACCCTCGTCACTCTCACTCCTCCTCTTGTTCCTTGATGTTTTCTCTCTGTTGCCTCCTCCTGCGAATGTTCTGACAGCACAGGGCACTTAGGGACCAGAAAGTTCTGATGAACCCTAAAGTCTTCAGCATTGAGAGGGTGAGCTCTGAAACATTGGGGCCTTTGGATTGGACCGTCTTCTTGAACTATTGTAACCATTCTGCCACTGGACAACACTGTTGAAAATGAAAACAGGTAATACAAGCAAGGATGTTCCTTGAAGCCTGAAACAGTGGTCGGGATTTGAAAAAGACTATTTCTGTTCAACCTTCATTTTGTATATAAGGATTGCATGATCATGAGTCAGATTTGGGGAGATTCCAACAAGGATTTTTCAGCAGAACTGACACAAGACAGACATTTTCCCAAAACCAAATGCTATGAGAATGGAGAACTGGCAAAGGAGAAGTTTTTCTGAGCTTCTTGGGAATTAGTTTATTGGCAAAGAAAATGAACTGAACACTTTAATGCTGATATTTAAGGAAGACTAAATATTAGAACAGGTGCTGGCTCAAACACGTGCCCATTTCCTCTGTTAGGTATTTTCTTTCTTTTGTATTTCTCCCATGATTATTCATTATGTGCTATGTAAAAGTGGTAAGTATGAATTGTTTAATTAAATCCTCAAGCCCCTTTTTAGGTGTGAGAATTCAGAATGCCTACCACTGAGACCTCTTTCTAAAGAAATGGTTTGTTTAGATGAGCTGGGAGAGGCAAGGACATAACTCAGTATTCTGTAGCAGAAACATTGAGTAGTTACCATTTATTTTACTTTACTGAAGGGTCATACATTTTTTTATTTAGGAAGAAGTCGGATGCCTATGGTTGAAATGATGCTAGTGTCTGGCATGATTTTCTTTGCAGTTATCTTGTGGGAGAGGAGAGGGGAGGAAAAGTAAAGATGAGACAAGAATAGCCATGCTAGGTTCATTATATGTTCTCTGTGCTTTTGTATTTGCTTGAAAATTTTCACAAATCCATAAAAGAAATTTGACGCTAGCTTAATAGAATCTCTGTGCTTGATGGCACAGCTATACTCATGTCTGAAAATATTATGTAACCATTAAAATAACAATTATAAAGAATGTTAATGACATTTCTGATACATGTATATGTACTCAAAAATTGGAAGTAGATTTAAACACTATCTGTGGTTTCTAGGTTGGTGGGATTATGGGTGATCTTTGTTGACTGCATTTTGCAAACTTTCTACAGTAAGAGAACAACATTATTGAGGCCTACCTTTATTTTGAAAGAAGGGAACATGATCCTCGTGTGTGAGTTGGAGAGGCCTTTGTTCCAGTTATCTGTTCCTGGTGAATTGCTGTAGGAGGAGTGAGAGTACCACTGTTGTGGCTGTGGACACTTTGGGTACCTCTGCACAATGCCTTCCTTGGGTGCTGTCTTTGGTGAGGTATCATAGACCAGGCCATGGGCAAAAGCAAACCCTACCACCATTTCTCTCATGGGTGACTTCCGTTCTATAGTGACCTTTAACATGAATTTCTATCTGATTTCAGTGATCCGGACATGATCTCCACAAGAGTGCTGGACATCAAGCTTCGGGAGACTGCAGAAGGCCTTGGAGATGACAGCACAGGTAAGGCCCCATCCTCCCTGCTCTGTTAGGATCCATGAGGGGCTGTGGTATGGAGAGAGGACCCTGAGAAAGGCTGGCAGGGTGGAGAGTTGGGGTTGGGTTCCCAGGATGCTGAGACGCCGCGAGGCTCTGAGGCACTGTGATGCCATCTCACACGAGGCCCCTCTGGGGGATGGGGGTAGCCTCAGTGCTGCTTTGCTGCTCTGTCAGACACAGGGCTTTCTCTACCTGCTTGCTTGTCCTGGAGGTAAATGTGTTGCCGTGGTTTGCTTGACTTGACAGCAAAGGAAGGAATGTGTGTGCCATCCAGTTATATCCAGAGATGCCAGGAGGAGAAATAGGCAAGAGAATGACCACCCAGGAATAAATGATTCCATCAAGAATGCCTTTGACCCTGTTCCCCTTCAAGAACTCTTTGTCACAGCCTCTCCTGAACTAAATTCCAAGTCCATGAGTCATTACCTTGTACCACATTTTAAGAGTTATGGACACTATACATTGCCATGTATGGTGATGGAGTTGTACAGTTGATGTTAAAACACAGATCTCCTTATAGCATACCTTTTCCTTATATTAACCATTTTCTCCCCTTGTTTTAGTAGCAAAGGTCTCCAAATATTACTTGAATAAACTCATAATTGAATTAGTGATTTTTTTTAAAGATTTATTTATTTTTATTGGAAAGGCAGATATACATAGAGGAGGAGAGACAGAGAGGAAGATCTTCCATCCGATGATTCACTCCCCAAGTGACCACAACGGCCGGTGCTGCGCTGATCCGAAGCCAGGAACCAGGAACCTCTTCCAGGTTGCCCACGTGGATGCAGGGTCCCACAGGATTGGGTCATCCTTGAATGCTTTCCCAGGCCACAGGCAGGAAGCTGGATGGGAAACAGAGCTGCTGGGATAAGAACCAGCACCCATATGGGATCCTGGCGCATTCAAGGTGAGGACTTTAGCCGCTAGACCACGCCGCCGGGTCCTCATTAGTGATTTTCTTTGACCAAATTCAACATGAATAGCTACCAGTGATATTAAGTTTTGGTTGCTGGCCTAGCTTCAGATACTAATTTCACTGAAGGTTCTATTTTATGTATTGTAGATAGATTTTTTTCTCATTGCTCTATATTATAGCCACATGACCCATTTTAATAGACACCAGGGAAACCCAAACATAAAATGAAGTTTTCTGGATTAACTTTGAGGGGCCAGCACAATGGCTCCACAGGCCAATTCTCTACCTTCAAGTACTCACATCCCATGTGGGTACTGGTCTGCATCCTGGCTGCTCCACTTCCCATCCAGCCCCCTGCTTATGGCCTGGAAAAGCAGTGGAGGATAGCCCAAAGCCTTGGGACCCTGCACCCTCATGAGAGACCTGGCCACTGGCTCCTCAATTCAGCTTAGCTCAGCTCTGGCCATTGCAGCCATTTAGGGGGTGAACCAGTGAATGGAAGATCTTTCTCTCTGTCTCTCCTCTCTGTAAATTTGCCTTTCAAAAAAAAAAAAAAACTTTAAAAAAATTTAAGAGGGACCCAGCACAATACCCTAATGGCCAAATCCTCACCTCGCATGTGCCAGAATCCCTTTTGGGTGCCAGTTTGTATCCTGGCTGCTCCGCTTTCCATCCTGCTCCCTGCTTGCAGCCTGTGGCCTGGGAAAGCAGTCGTGGATGGCCCAAAGGCTTGGGACCCTGCAGCTGCGAAGGAGACCTGGAAGAAGCTACTGGCATTTGAATCAGCTCAGTTTCGGCTGTTGTGCCCACTTGGAGAGTGAACCAGTGGATGGAAGATATTTCTGTAATTCCTTCTCTCTGTATATCTAAAAATCTTAAAAAAAAATTGAAAGTAGATGAATGCTAATAAGATGGCTTCTCAGATTTTCTCTTATTATGGGACACTTTAACAAGGAAATGCTGTCTGAAAACTGATTTCATAGCTGGAATCGACTTCAGTAGATGCTAGTTGTAGCACTGAATGAAGTCAGTTTTAGAAAAAAGCAAATATCCTTTTTTTGAATAGCAGTGAGTTTAATTATTCTGATCAATCTTCCCTTGCTTAAAATTGTCAAAATCTATACAGGAACATTCTTTAAAATATTTTATAAAAGTAAGATGAGACTAGAATTGAAAAAAAATGGAAATCTGGAGAGGCTGGTGAGCATGAATGATGTTTGCCTTCACTTAGCAGGCTCAGGAATTTTGAATTTCATTTTCATGTCCTCATGTGGAGGTGGGGAGGCGAGGGGGTCGGGAACTCAGGACAGGGCTTGTACAAGGTGAGCTATCTCTAGACAGTTACCCCCTGCCTACAGTAAGGTATGTGAAGCCCAGGTAAACCAGCCCAGTGTAGACTTGGAGGTTGGCATTGTACCACACAGGTAATTGAGAGCACCTCAATCCATGAGCCTGGTACTCGTAGACTGGCTATCAGGCGCCTCCTGTCTGAACTTCAGGTTATTACAGAAAATGGCATTTTCAGTGCATTGACAAGCACTGTGGCAGTGATAGCCAAACAGCCAGGGCCACAAAGCACATGAGCTCCATGAATGAAGACCAGCATGCCCCAAGTTTAATTGTGTCCCCAGTATCTCAGGTTGGGATCCTAGATGGGAGTGAGGTCATTGTGAATGTTGTGAGTTAAGACGGGATCATACAGGACTAAGGTGGGACTTCTCCACATCCACTATGACTGATGTTCCTATAAAAAAAAAGGCATTTGGGAGCAGAAAGGAACATAATGTGGAGATGATAGAAGAGATCAGGATAGCACATCCTCAAGCCAAGGAACGGCCAGAATTGCTGGCACACTTGCAGAACTTAGAGGACTGGCACAAACAGAGTTTTCTGTCACCCCTCCCCCTAGAAAGCACCTACTACACGGCACTGTGATGACGCCCCTTCAGCCTCCACAGTGTGAGACAAGGCTTTTCTGTTGCTTCAGCTGCCCACTTTGTGGTGCTACTTTGTTCATCAACCTAAGCAAACAAATACACAGCAGAAACAAGAGGAATGAATTCATGCAAGCATCAAATGTCCTGAACACCAGGGACACACTATAAAACAGCAACGCATACTATGAAGACAACAAAGAAGTTTAAAATATCTGGAAGTTCCAGTGTGCTATGAAAAATGGCATTACATCCAGCCAATGCAATAACAGAATAAATAACAAAAGGCATCGAAATGGAAGAAATAAAATTCTTTTTTTTCAGATGATATGTTTATATAAAATATGCCCAAAAAAGTCAGAACTCTTAAACAGGTTTAGGGAGGTATAATACCATTTCACAAAAAAAATTATTATAGTCCTATATATTGGCAATGCAAATTAAAAATTTGCATTTTTAAAAAAAGTGCCATGTCGGCCCTGGCGTGTGGCCTAGCGGCTAAAAGTCCCCACCTTGAACATGCCAGGATCCCATGTGTTGCTGGTTCTAATCCCGGCAGCCCTGCTTCCCATCCAGCTCCCTGCTTGTGGCCTGGGAAAGCAGTCGAGGATGGCCCAAAGCCTTTTGACCCTGCACCTGTGTGGGAGACCTGAAAGAGGTTCCTGGCTCCTGGCTTTGGATTGGCACACTACCGGCCGTTGTGGTCACCTGGGGAGTGAATCATCGGACAGAAGATCTTCTTCTCTGTCTCTCCTCCTCTCTGTATATCTGACTTTCCAATAAAAATAAATAATAAATCTTTAAAAAAAAAAGTGCACTTACAGCATGTCACGTAAAGCAGCATTCAGGAAAATTGAAATTCTTATGTATGCATGCAACAAAGATACATATGGCATGTATATACCAAAGAATGCAAATAATTCCTCAAGGAAATGAACATGTAAATACATGGAAAGAGAGACCACGCTAAATGGATTAGAAGACTCAGTGTTGCTAAGATGCTCATTCATCCCAAATTGAGCTGCAGAACGCTTACACTTGAGTTGTAAAAGGAAGGGATATAGTTAACTCAGCATTCTGCAGTAGATTTGTTGATCAGTTACCATTTATTTGACTTTGATGGAGAGTGGCAGGTTTTTTGTTTTTGTTTCTGTTTCTGTTTTTAATTTACAAAGAAGTCAAATTGCTAGGGATGCAATGGCAACAATGTCTAGGATGATTTGCTTTGAAATAACATAGTGCAATCGAGGAGGGAGAGGAGGAATGGAAATGAAGCAATCAAAATCCCAGCAGGAATTTTTTGTGCAAATGTTAACCAGCAGAGTCTACAATTTATATGAAACAGGAAAGAACTAGAATAGGTAAGAAAAATTCTGAAAAGAACAAACTTGGAGGACTCACTCTACCTTGTTTGAAGACTCACTAGACAACTACAGTGAAGAAGATGGAGTGGTATTAATCAGAGGACAGATGCATAGAGATTGAACATCTAAAAGTAAACTTGCAAATTTGATCAATTGATGTTTTACAGAGTGGCACAGGAAGCTTATTGAAGATAGTAGTCTTTTCAACAAATGATGCCAGAACCACAGGACATTCATATGTTAGAAGAAAACATTGATCCAGACATCGCAGCTTGTACAAATAGTAATATGTAAATTTAAAACTCTGTAAATTAAAAAAAAAAAAGGCACAAGAAGACCCAGCATGGTAGCCTAGCAGCTAAAGTCCTCGCCTTAAACATGCTGTGAATCCCATATGGGCTCTGGTTTTAATTCCAGCAGTCCTGCTTCCCATCCGGTTCCCTGCTTGTGGCCTGGGAAAGCAGTCAAGGATGGCCCAAAGCCTTGGGATCCTGCACCTATGTGGGAGACCTGGAAGAGGTTCCTGGCTCCTGGCTTCGGATTGGTGCAACACCGACTGTTGTGCTCACTTGAGGAGTGAATCATCAAACGGAAGATCTTCCTCTCTCTCTCTCCTCTCCTCTCTGTGTATCTGACTTTGCAACTTAAAACTTTTTTTTTTCCTGTGAAAGGCACTATTGATAAAATAAAAGATAAGTCCCAGTCTGGGAGAAAATATTTGTAAACATGCTTGATGAAATATTTTTA